CTTTCTCTCGCGTTTATCTAAGCAGCGACTAGCGTAGGAGATCACAACTTCGCCCGCCGGAGTTCTCTGGGATAAAACTGCGCCGATCGCTTCATCGCTCGCATCTGTATCCAACACAAAAGCTCCCGACTCTGGTGAGGTGTCAGGGAGAGCCAAGATTGGGGGTGTCGTAAGATGAACTTTCAACTCTGCAAAAGCATTCTGACATTCGTTAGTCCAGCAGAATTTTCGTCCCTTCTCAGTTAAACGATGTAAGGGGGCTGAGATGGCCGCAAAATTAAAAATAAATCGTCGATAGTACGAAGCCAATCCCAAGAAACTTCGGAGTTCTGCTGTCGTTTTAGGTTGTGGCCAGGAAGTAATTTTTTCACATTTGGCGGGGTCGGTCCTCACACCTTCATGGGAGATAATGTGCCCCAAGTACTTAACTTCACGCAGGAGAAAATGACATTTTGGACCCCGTAGTTTCAAGCCCGCCACGCGAAGCCGATCCAGTACGAGGCGCAGCCGCCGGTTATGCTCCTCAATCGATCGCCCATAAACGATTATGTCGTCCAAATAAATTAAACAGCTACCTGGTGTCAGACCCTCCAGGGCTTTCTGCATTAGTCTCTGAAACGTAGCCGGAGCATTAACGAGACCAAAAGGCATCGTTTCAAATTCATATAGACCGTTGGGAACGGTGAACGCCGTTTTCTCACGATCCTTGGGTCTTACTTCTACTTGCCAGTAACCACATGCAAGATCCAACGTAGAGAACCAGCATGAACCATGGAGTGCATCGAATGTGGCATCAATACGGGGCAATGGAAATGAGTCTTTACGTGTTACCTCGTTAAGCTTTCGATAATCAACACAAAGCCGCAAGGTCCCATCTTGCTTCTTCACTAAAACGATTGGCGACGCCCACGGTGACGATGAAGGTTTAATGATACGTTTGTCCAGCATCTCTTTGATCATTGACTCTAACTGCGGTTCGTAATGAACTGGTAACCTGCGCGCATGTTGACGAATAGGTCGGTGGGACATGGTGTCAATCTCATGTTCAACTAGGTTCGTACGGCCAGGAGAATCAGCTGTCGAAAACACCTCTTCAAACTCTCGTAGTACTGAGATTAACTGGTCAGTGTTGTCTGTGGTAACGTTAGTGCGTCCAATAATTGGCTCAATGACCTCCTTTTGGAAATGCGTTGCTAGTGAAGACGTGGCTGCGATAGTGAACGTTCCTCGACCGTTCTGTTGATGATCAATGACGGTTGGCGCAGGACTCATCAATACGGTCCCGCATCGAAGTGACATTGTACAACCATGTCGGGTGAGGAAATCCATTCCCAAAATAGCGTCCCAGGTCAAATTTCGACAAGCTATAAAGTTATGAGTGGCTACTACCCCATCAAGTTTTACGCGTGCAGGCAGTGTAAACTCTGTTCGCAACTCCACCCCATTGGCGGTGATAACACGAGGCTGCTGGCTGGTAACCGTGCACACGTTCCTAAGGCTGTGGGCTATATCAAGGCGAAGTAGAGAACACGATGCACCAGTATCAATCAAAAAATGCACGCTAATATCACCTAAACACCCAGGTATCGTCAATGGTTTAGAGTGTAGATTGCTAGTGAAAGTTGATGCCAAAAACTGACAATTGTGCAAAGCTGACCTACCTCGGGGTTTTCGAAAAACGATAGGTGGGTTGTGTCCACAGCGCTGGGCCCGTCTGCCGAACCGCTGACAGTATACGCAGTTCTCCACGGGGATTTTCGTACTGGGGAATGGTGCCTGTGATCAGCTGTGAAAACGTCGGTCGATGGGCGTAAAGTTGAACAACTATCATGACCAAGGTGGGTTCGGTCGGTTTTGACTTGCTCCAGAAATTCCCGATTTCTGGCCTTCTCCAGAACGTCCTCCAAAGAATGAGGAAGTTTCAATGTGTATTTGTCACGGAGGTATTGGTCGCGTAGGCCCATCGCAAACCTCTCACATATCCACTTCTTCAGCTCTGCGAACTGAAGATCTGGAAACCCTTTGTGAGCCAAAATCCGGAGGGCTGCGAGGAAGGCATCTACACTCTCTGAGGGTAGCTGACGCCGAGCGAAGAATTTGTCACGGTAGAACGCAACGGGGTGGCATTTGGAAAACAAGTTTCGGAGAGTGGCCCAGATCTTTTCCACTGGTGAATTAGCAGGTACGCTCATTGTTAAGAATATCTGCAACGCTTCTTCGCTTAAGAAACTGAGGATAATCGAGCCGAGTGACCTTTCTGGCGCTGTAGCGATGTACGCGTTGACTTGAAAGTACCAGCTTTCAAAGTCATCACCCGGGCTGAAAACACGCGGTTGGCGACTGAGGGATTGGATCTGCAAATTTGTGTCCCGGACGCAACACTCAATCTTCGGTGGGCTGAAATCAGTTTTGCTCATACTTGTAGAACTGCCCGCGACCACAAATTGTAATATATTCCGAATGGCAGGTTCGAGACACGTACGAAAAGTCCCGGCTACAAACGAACGGCACGTGAGAATCAGCGACCGAGTAACTAACACAGTAGCACGTACGAAACGGCAATCATGCAAGACGACGATGCTCTACTGAGTCGACCACGAGAACAAGCAAGCTGGACCGAGACAGATGTATTCAACAGCGCGGCATGCGAATAGCGTGGTACACGGCAAGCAAGTATATAAACAACGAGTTTACAAGGAACAGGTACTGGGGCTTGGCTTTTGATTCCCTTCATTCATTGTGCATTCGGTCCGCCAAGCCCTGTAAAATAAGCAAAGGAGACATAAGTAATGGCGGTCAATTTAAACAATACGTAGCGGATTCAAATGTACCACTTTCCATCATTTTGTAATTACCACGGATATGAAGAAGGAATTTATAGTAAGCTTTTGGTGTGATAACAAATACAACCAACATTCCGAATATGGACGACGGCTTCTTGTGCTAATTTCCTTCAAGTCCATGAGATCACTTTAATTTTGTTTTACTGGACGATTTCCAATATTGGCATACAATGGATAAATTTCTGTTTTCGCAAGTAGCGTCTTTGCTTATTAATTCATTTGCAGCCATATGCACCCCAGCACTCATTGCCAAAACCGTTCATGTATCGAAAACATCCGCTCACACAATTTCATCCATCGCAACAGAACCATTATTTGCGTTCACACACCAAAGTGAGTTTTACTAGTTATACGCATAATGAGGCATTTTCAATGTACGAATTTCAGAAACTAACATAAAACAAATATCCGTTGCAAGTAACATCAAATTAAAATTTTGCATAAACAATTAAATTTTTCAGCTATTTTATTGTATTTGATATTTCACGCTACAGACCGCTGGGACACAAGCCACTCGAGGTTAAATAAGTTTGGCAAGGGTAGGGGTTGATGTCGTATGCAGACCGTGGACAGCGGATCGCGACAAAATCCAGTGGGTGGAGCTGATTGGCGCCCCTCCATCAGTGCCGATGCATCTGGAGCTGATCGGTGTGGCAGCGCTAACAGGCAACCCACATAAACCACTTCCTATATCTATTCCCAGTAGTCGATCCTTACCGGATATGTTCCCAAGCGGAGTGAACTATCCCGAACGCGTTAAGTGACTAAAATGGGAAACTTTGCCGGACCATCCACTGGAGGTGCGTGGGTGCTTATTGCACGTCGATCTTGTCCCATGTGTGCATTGACGAGGTAGTTAACACCCCAAGGGTTTATTCAATGTAGTAGACTGCATTGGCTCTCAATTACCACTGTCAGTAGCACTAGACAGACTTATTTGGCCATCAAATCTATTTACTTGATTGGATGATCACGACAGGTGGTACCACAGTTGAGGAGGACGAGGATGTGAGTTAGTCGGTTTCTCATGTGACATACTACTGCATGTTAGCATAGTAGTGTGTCCTGGATACTAATGAGACTAGTGCACCATGTGGTTTCAATGCGAATTCGGTGTTAGTTCACCCATATTCTACGCTAACGTCGTTCAACACAAGCCTATCACATTTAAATCGTTTGCTTCTAACGAGTAGCAGCATGTGTGTGGGTATGCTCTCTCGATAGTATCGCAGTGAATATCGTTCCAATTGCAGACTGAGATACCGACCATGGAAATAGGAAGGGGCAGAGTTAACCAGAGCATAATTCGGAAGTGAACAAATCTATGGCATGGTTCGACGGACGACTGAACACAGTGGCGTAGACAGGCCACGTAAAAAATTTCATGTTGCTGTGTTCGTACTAGACTTGTTGGATTGAAGCAACACCCAATTTATGCTGCCAGTATTTTGACTTTTGTTGTGATTCTTTGGGACATGTCGCTCCATGTATTTTAGGCCATGGCACAACTATAGAGGCACACACCTCCTCCGACATGGTCAATCGCATGCAGGCCATTCTTCTTCAACCTAATTTAACTGTGGAAACTGAGTCCTCGCGTGACGGTGCCCTTTTGGAAGACCCACAAATAAAGCCACGGAACCTTTGAATCAGATATGGTGTAGAAATTGCCAACCTGCACAACATTCTATTGCAGTCGAAAGTCACTGCGCAATCGGTGTGCCACGCAGAGTCCGAGGTCACCCCAACGAAGAAGAGGGAGGACGCCTCTGTAAAGCAGCTCAGAGCCTCAGCGAGTGAGAGGTTATCTAACACCAAATATGAGCAAGCGAAATGCTACAACGGGCCCTACTCCGGTCCCAGTAATTCGGGCCTAACTTTTTCCATTGAGGAAGGTTGCCATGGATTCACCACACCCGATGAGCACTGGAAGGCTAGCAGGCAGTTTGGAAGTCCGAGAACTTGCTTCCTCAACTCCACTGAGTACATAGCGGACACAGCGGGAATACATGTCTGGAATGCCTGCGGACACACTGACACCTTGTGACCAATCCCGATGGGAGAGTGTGGGGCCACCAACTACAAGGCGTCCTCAGCAGTCCAGAGAGAAACGTCACCGTGTGGAAAGGAGGAAGTGTCCAACGTGTGGCAAGTGACATGACCGAACTAAACACACACTATCAAAGGGTGCACTCTCGCAATGTGATAATTGGATGGGATAAGGATAACCGTACCTGTCAGACCAACAGTTGGAGGACATTGGCTCAGGTAGTAGATAATTGGCACGCTCTGGCGTACTCGTTTTCGATCACAATGTTTACGTGACAGAGCCAAGATCCGAAGAAATGCAGTAGCCCGTCGAACAAGACAACCAGCCATATACTCCATGCAGTGTTGGTTCAATTCGGTGGGGGCTTAAAGGACGCTGAACATAGCCTGAAAATGGCATAATAACATCGGTCTACTTTCCAAATATATAAGGCATTTTAGCTTGTGGGTTAAATGAGAGCGGTCATTCCAATTTTGTTGCCATGTAACTTTTTCCGACGTGGAACTCACCTGTATACCAGTTGGTTTTAGCCGTTAATTTGAATCAGAAACCACTAGTGGAGTGGCGAAGTTTGCTTTAACTGTATCATATGCATGGAAGTGGAAACCGAGATGGCAACCCATTAGGATCACATTTTGCCAGCCTAGGGGGTGAGAGGATGAGTGATGTTCCTTTAGAGATAATAAGAGTCTAATTCGCGTCCGTCTACCTGTTTACACTTTTACTGTTGTCCCGTGAATACAACCAGTCTACAATTTCTCCAGCAGCATCGAAATACAATATCAGAGGCGTAGCTAAACTCGTACTGCACACTGGCTTCTACGTTTTCGGAAGGATGAAGCACCACGCATTGCTGCATCACCAGACCGATGTGTGGCACCTGCTGTAACTGTACTCCATCCAGATGTTCCCGTTGGATCAAACAATTGTTGGTTTCACACCATTCATTTGCAAACTGATATAACTGAAGTTTCGACCCACTGTGTTTAGTACGGTGAGCAATTTCGCATGATACCAACATTATTGAACGCTCAGTTCTTCACAACATTCTCTCCATAACGGTTGCAGATGGTGAATCTGAAATCCTCGAGCACCAACCGCTTCCACTGTTCACATTGCGCATGCACTGTGAGGTGGCCAACGGAGCTGCGAAAACACTTGATGGTTCATGAAGACTCCCGGCCATTTGTCTGCGCCGTATGCCTGTTTGCCTACAAGTGGACCTGGGATTTAGGCAAGCACTTCGCGAAATCCTATCCGTACCTGCTCAATCCATACAGGAAGCTACGTGTACGCAGACGAAATGAAGTGCATGCACAGCCCAACGATAATGAGGAGACAACTGAAATATGAACTATTGATCGCAATCTTCCCTTCTTTTGGCAGTCTTTCCCTCACCCACCTAACAGAGACCCTGATTTATTGTATATTTAATTTGTATATTTATCTGACAAACTGTAGTGAATGAAAACCGTTTCAAGCTTGCTGCATTGCAGATATTAAATTTTACTTCTCCATCGTCACTATCTTTACTTCCATTCGCCTACTTCGGCTTGCGTGGTGTTGAACACTGGGTTATGTTGAACAGTGATGCCGCGCTGGACTTAGAACAACAGATTTACAGCACAGTAATGTGCATCGAGAAAACTCGCAGCGATTTTGCGTGAGAGCAGTTCCGCTGTGATTTCCACGGTCATAATGTGGTCCGCTATCCGACTCTGTGTTTTACTAGGATTCGCCAGCATTCGCTTCCGCAGAAGTTCGACGGTGGGTTAGTATTCGCTGCTTTAATGAATGTGATAGACGTAGTTTCATGTATTGTCGCATTTTGATGGCGTATGGAAAAATATGCCGGCACAATTCGACGCAGTACGGATATCGTTGTAATAGCGGCGATTTGAGGACGCGACTGATGATCCATGGGGGTATTACATCGCAATTGAGCTCAGCATTCATTAACCTACCCAGATGATTAACGAATGCGGTCGTCTTCCAGCCGTCACAAATGCACCGATAGGCATGTGCATGTCAGAACACAAATAGTCGTTCATCGTATATCGTTGGTAGTTGATACCAGATTCATTGGCTGAACACCGGTTGCTGTTTTCCAGTTGCTTCTACACACATGCGATTAGCGACCGCGCTCGAAGTCACCTCGAATCTGACGTTCGGAAGAGCAATTCAATGTGGGGATGTAATAATTCCATTTAAACAAACTGTGTATCTGAACTGTGCGCACAATCGTATCCGTTACGAGCAACTATCAATCACACTGCAGTGAGGATATGTATGTAATATATGGGCTACAGCGTACGGATGGATACGTATGGTAGGTACGTCATGATGCTCGTCTTGACAAGATTGGCATTATCGGGGCAGTGATTCACGATGAATAATAGCTCAGTGCTAGTTGCAGTGTTAAAACGACACCAACCGTATTCTGTCTGCATTAGATTGCATGCAAATTGCCATACAAAACCCGTATGTATTATCTTGGTTACCTTTCGATAAAGTGTGTAGCGCGATCTGATTTCACAGCAAATTACTTTGATTGTCTGCCATCATTTTAGTAAATGAATATATGGCATAATGAATGGTGGTTTGGTTGCGTTAAAACTTTCCCACTTAGCAGGAACGGCGAACTCGTCGTGTATGTCCAGATGACAGATAATTTAAGTAATTTGCTGTGAAATCAGATCGCGCTACACACTTTATCGAAAGGTAACCAAGATAATACATACGGGTTTTGTATGGCAATTTGCATGCAATCTAATGCAGACAGAATACGGTTGGTGTCGTTTTAACACTGCAACTAGCACTGAGCTATTATTCATCGTGAATCACTGCCCCGATAATGCCAATCTTGTCAAGACGAGCATCATGACGTACCTACCATACGTATCCATCCGTACGCTGTAGCCCATATATTACTTACATATCCTCACTGCAGTGTGATTGATAGTTGCTCGTAACGGATACGATTGTGCGCACAGTTCAGATACACAGTTTGTTTAAATGGAATTATTACATCCCCACATTGAATTGCTCTTCCGAACGTCAGATTCGAGGTGACTTCGAGCGCGGTAGCTAATCGCATGTGTGTAGAAGCAACTGGAAAACAGCAACCGGTGTTCAGCCAATGAATCTGGTATCAACTACCAACGATATACGATGAACGACTATTTGTGTTCTGACATGCACATGCCTATCGGTGCATTTGTGACGGCTGGAAGGCGACCGCATTCGTTAATCATCTGGGTAGGTTAATGAATGCTGAGCTCAATTGCGATGTAATACCCCCATGGATCATCAGTCGCGTCCTCAAATCGCCGCTATTACAACGATATCCGTACTGCGTCGAATTGTGCCGGCATATTTTTCCATACGCCATCAAAATGCGACAATACATGAAACTACGTCTATCACATTCATTAAAGCAGCGAATACTAACCCACCGTCGAACTTCTGCGGAAGCGAATGCTGGCGAATCCTAGTAAAACACAGAGTCGGATAGCGGACCACATTATGACCGTGGAAATCACAGCGGAACTGCTCTCACGCAAAATCGCTGCGAGTTTTCTCGATGCACATTACTGTGCTGTAAATCTGTTGTTCTAAGTCCAGCGCGGCATCACTGTTAAACATAACCCAGTGTTCAACACCACGCAAGCCGAAGTAGGCGAATGGAAGTAAAGATAGTGACGATGGAGAAGTAAAATTTAATATCTGCAATGCAGCAAGCTTGAAACGGTTTTCATTCACTACAGTTTGTCAGATAAATATACAAATTAAATATACAATAAATCAGGGTCTCTGTTAGGTGGGTGAGGGAAAGACTGCCAAAAGAAGGGAAGATTGCGATCAATAGTTCATATTTCAGTTGTCTCCTCATTATCGTTGGGCTGTGCATGCACTTCATTTCGTCTGCGTACACGTAGCTTCCTGTATGGATTGAGCAGGTACGGATAGGATTTCGCGAAGTGCTTGCCTAAATCCCAGGTCCACTTGTAGGCAAACAGGCATACGGCGCAGACAAATGGCCGGGAGTCTTCATGAACCATCAAGTGTTTTCGCAGCTCCGTTGGCCACCTCACAGTGCATGCGCAATGTGAACAGTGGAAGCGGTTGGTGCTCGAGGATTTCAGATTCACCATCTGCAACCGTTATGGAGAGAATGTTGTGAAGAACTGAGCGTTCAATAATGTTGGTATCATGCGAAATTGCTCACCGTACTAAACACAGTGGGTCGAAACTTCAGTTATATCAGTTTGCAAATGAATGGTGTGAAACCAACAATTGTTTGATCCAACGGGAACATCTGGATTGAGTACAGTTACAGCAGGTGCCACACATCGGTCTGGTGATGCAGCAATGCGTGGTGCTTCGTCCTTCCGAAAAAGTAGAAGCCAGTGTGCAGTACGAGTTTAGCTACGCCTCTGATATTGTATTTCGATGCTGCTGGAGAAATTGTAGACTGGTTGTATTCACGGGACAACAGTAAAAGTGTAAACAGGTAGACGGAAGCGAATTAGACTCTTATTAGCTCTAAAGGAACATCACTCATCTTCTCATCCCATAGGCTGGCAAAATGTGATCCTAATGGGTTGCCATCTCGGTTTCCACTTCCATGCATATGATATAATTAAAGCAAAATTCGCCACTCCACTAGTGGTTCCTGATTCAAATTAACGGATAAAACCAACTGGTATACAGGTGAGTTCCACGTCGGAAAAAGTTACATGGCAACAAAATTGGAATGACCGCTCTCCTTTAACCCACAAGCTAAAATGTCTTATATATTTGGAAAGTAGACCGATGTTATTATGCCATTTTCAGGCTATGTTCAGCGTCCTTTAAGCCCCCACCGAATTGAACCAACACTGCATGGAGTATATGGCTGGTTGTCTTGTTCGACGGGCTACTGCATTTCTTCGGATCTTGGCTCTGTCACGTAAACATTGTGATCGAAAACGAGTACGCCAGAGCGTGCCAATTATCTACTACCTGAGCCAATGTCCTCCAACTGTTGATCTGACAGGTACGGTTATCCTTATCCCATCCAATTATCACATTGCGAGAGTGCACCGTTTGATAGTGTGTGTTTAGTTCGGTCATGTCACTCGCCACACGTTGGACACTTCCTCCTTTCCACACGGTGACGTTTCTCTCTGGACTGCTGAGGACGCCTTGTAGTTGGTGGCCCCACACTCTCCCATCT